TCTGCATGCAAATGTTAATGTACATATCATGTACATTTGTTACTCTATTTCTCTCATTTCCTTTCTGTCATTTAGTGTATCAATTGTAACTGATCATATGTGTAAATCTGTGGGAGAGGGTGATCAAACTTGCGACAATTTGTGCCCAATCCTTTTCATGTGAATGAAATATGTTTTAAGTTAAACATGTGTCACAGAAAATGGTTATGATACATATTTAACCGACTATGTTTGAAGCCTACATTAGGAGACGTGTATTCATTTCTATGCTGATGTAGGATAGCTCTGCGGAACGTAGCCATGTCCCCTTCCACAAAGGTTCCCAGCGGTATGTGATACAGTTTGGGATTAACGATCGTGAATAAATGGAATTTGATTTTCAAAAAATATAATGCCCTCTAATGAAGTAGCTCATTCGAACATAAAGGGGCAGTCGGGTAGCCTCGTGGTTCAATTGATTGAGTATAGTTTTACGCCGCTTTTAGCAATATTCCAGCAATATCACGGCGGGGGACACCAGAAATGGGCTTCACACATTGTACCCATTTCGGGAATCGAACCCGGGTCTTCGGTGTGACGAGCGAAGGCTTTAACCATACCACACAACCAACTAAAACCACACAATCCTTCCGACTCCCAAACAACCAATCAATATTCACGGCAGAACTAATGGGCATGGCCTCAGCCCTTCATAATCAAGAATCCAAAAACCACAAAAAAATCCTAATACTTACCGACTCCCTAAGTGGACTGCAAGCCCTCCAAAACAAAAATACCAAAAACCGACCTAAATTAATAAATCAAATACTTAAAAGTTCCAACGACCTAACTAAGGCAGGCAAACAAATAACCTTCTTGTGGATACCCGCCCACGTAGGAATATACGGTAATGAAAACGCCGATAAAGCAGCTAAACTATCCCTCAAAATCCCAGAAATAAGCTTAAACTTACCCATCTCAAAATCAGAAATTAAAAGTGTAAACAAGCAAAAAATCACAAAAAATGGCACAACCTATATCTAAACTCAAATAGCCAAATCAAAAAAGTGCTCAGCAAACCACTAACCAAACCAAAAATTCTCCATCCATCAAAAAAAATCGACAGAGTAATCACTAAACTCCAAACAGGACACACCAACCTAAATAACCACCTAATTTAAAAAAAAAAACACACTACAGGTAACTGCCCACACTGCAAACAACTAGAAACCCCAGAACACGCACTCATCCACTGCACACACTACCTAACACATCGAACCGCATTACAAACCACCCTCAATCTAAACAAGGCTCTCACTCTAGAAGCAATACTAAACCCACAAAATAAACTAGAAAACTTCAAGGCCTTAGGCGTATTCTTAATCAAAACGGAACTAATAAAACGCATCTAAAAACACAATAACCTAACGAATCAAAATCACATAAACAAACAAACATCCACCATACCCAGCTCCCTTAATTCTCCTCCCCAACCCCATCGGCATCTATTCCAAATCTCAAAATTCCCGAATTCTATATAAGCAACCCCTAAACCCCCCTCTTGGGTTGCACAGACCACTTTCGCCCCTTTCGGAAACACATTAAATGGCCTGGCCGGGCCCGTGTGCGAAATAAGCATCAGTCGGAAAGCGCACGTTAAATCTCCAAAATAAGTAATGCAGTCAATATTTTAAACTACACCTTTAGGCTCTGGGGGTTTGGTTGTGTTCCTGTCGTTGGCTCTTAGTAGGGTATTGGGGGAGGTGGAACTTGCGAAGTAGGTGTCAATATTGGCTTGCTGTTTGAGGAGGCGGTTGATGATGAAGGAGACTTTTCCTATGAATGGGAGGGCGATGCGGAAGGGCGTTGATTCTCCCTCAGTTGGCGGATGACAAAGCAGACACAATTTATGGATAACAACTTCTTTATTACAGTAATGGCGACGTTTCGGTATAGATCCTTCAACCGTTGTCAAGCATGGGTCTATACCCTTACAGTAATAAAGAAGTTTTTATCCCAACATTGTGTTCACTTTGTCACTTCATACAAGAAATTGTGGCACGCTTCAGGGACTACTGAAGACGTAAATTCGTTAATTCTGAAATGTTGTACAACCGTTTGTATACATTTCTACAGCCATTCAAGTGTGGTTGTATCATCATATGTCATTTTACATAATATGTTATGTTAACACTTTAAAGTTATGCTTGAATCAGCGTTTCTTCAAATATCTTCAAAAAGAGAAGGATCGCGTCTGTAGCATGACATGAAGCTTTGTACACACGCCAGTTAAGTATTGAAAGTGCCTTTTGAAATTCAGGAGGTTTGTCAAAGCTTTTATTTGTTGTGTTTCCAAGGCAGCAAGTCGGACTCACTAGGATATGTCGAACTAATACCCTTTATTATACAGGAATTTTTATAACTCATAAACGGTTCAAACATTTCACAACGCTTTGATATATCTCAGGCAAATGCTGAATTGCTGCCTTTTGCTATTTCGGTGTCAGTTATAGTGCTCACACGGCAGACATTTTAGCCAAGGGTAGGGTTTGTGCTCAGTGCCGAACTTATGCCGAACCTTGCAGCATCTCTCTGAGAGATGTAAGATCAACCCATGCCTTCACATTGTGAGAACTGGGCTCAAATTTAAACGTGAGTAGTTTTTGGTTCAAAGAATATCTTGGAAACCTTTCTGTATTGTTTAAGGAGGTTTTACCGAAATACCCAACTATTGTGCCCGCTGGGAGCTGGCAAGGACTGGCGCCTATTGTACTGGTAATGTTAATGTTCGCCTTCACTTTCCACTTATTTTGTCAGCTTCTTGTATGCGTTATAAACCCACTGAATAGTACAACCCAGTCCAAAATGAAGAGACGTTTTCGATTTTCTGCTATGTTCCAAAAGGTTTTCAACATCATAAATATACTGATGCCTAGATGCGGCTAGATGTTGATGCTGTGCATCACCATTGTCTTTGCATTACTTAAATTGTACTGCCTTCTAGCACCGTGTGTATAATTTTCGAGAATAAACAGTTGAAAAGCTGCATATTTCCGAGTCAGATTGGTGAATGTGTTTCTTCCTTGAGTTCAAGCAGGAGAAATCCTTCATCTCGATATTAGTATCGCTCGTGAAATTCGTTCACGGACTAACGGCTACACAATTGTGTGAACTGAACACAAATATAATACCACGTTCTACTCTGTTGGATCAAGCATTTTGAATTGATACATATCTTTCTTTCATAGACATCATAGAACTTCAGGCCACGATAACCCCGAAGCTCTCGTAAAATACCCTTGTGTATATTGCTCTACGCCAGGCTGGAAGATCTGAACCCACTGAGCACACAGATTAAGGCATGTGAAACTGTTTATTACAACCATTTTTCAACGGTTTACACTAGGTCGTTGACTATCTCTATGGGGTAGCGATGTAGATGTAAGAAATAACTAAACACAAATATTCTTACACTCTAATCGTATATTTTCTAAATACCGTAAAACCGCATGAAGCGATTGAGATTTCACAACCACAGAGAGCTTCGTTAAACTGTGTTGTCAGTCGTTAAGGCCACACACAACAATACACGGCGGCCAGTAAATAGTCACGTCTGGGCCAGACTATCCAGTGACAATATAAGAAATGACCCACGCTGTGGGGAGACGATGACACATCAACCAAGTCATCAAGCCTGACCACTCGATCCATTCAGATGTCCTTTACAAAATGCATGAGCTAATAGAAGCCAAGTGTAATCCCCATCTAAACCCGTCGAATGCTGTGATTTACAGCAGAGTGAAAGACTGGTTTTTCAGAAGGAAGCCGAAGTACATTATGGCCACACCCCATTGTTCGGGATAAGCCGTGCATTGCGTTACTCCTTAATAGAACGGGTATACACGATATTGTTTAATTAACCTCTGTTTACCTCTGTCTTTTATCTTTCTTGTAATCCGTACCCCGTCTCTACATATCATAAGTTTGCGACGCGCATAGAGAGCCGGGAACCAGCTTACTTACTTGCACATTACACTCATACATTTGACTAAGTTTCTCTTCCAGTTTTGACGTCACACGTTTGTCTCCAGTCCCGTATCATACGTGATTCAACCTCTGACGTCCCGTGATAGACACGGGTCCGACGTCACACGTTTGTCTCCAGTACCGTATCATACGTGATTCAACCTCTGACGTCCCGTGATAGACACGGGTCCGACGTCACACGTTTGTCTCCAGTACCGTATCATACGTGATTCAACCTCTGACGTCCCGTGATAGACACGGGTCCGACGTCACACGTTTGTCTCCAGTCCCGTATCATACGTGATTCAACCTCTGACGTCCCGTGATAGACACGGGTCCGACGTCACACGTTTGTCTCCAGTACCGTATCATACGTGATTCAACCTCTGACGTCCCGTGATAGACACGGGTCCGACGTCACACGTTTGTCTCCAGTACCGTATCATACCAAGCTAATTCCCAGCGCGTGACACCTTCGTTGCACTCTCGGTAACATCGCTGCCACCAGTGTGGGGCGCGGCCATTACAAGAATCTTGAAATTTGGGAAATTTGTCCTCTAACCCCAAATGATAGTAATGTTTAAACTTTTGTTTATGTCTTTGGGAATGCCAAAACAGTGGGTTTTTTATTTAAAAGGTTTACGACTGACCATATTTCCCAGATGAATTTAACTTTTTGATTGGTTCGAGATTGCAGAAAAACGGAAAATCCCCCAAATCCCCCATTATAGTTGAAATGAAATATAAATTCAAATTGTCAAACCAAGAAAATAATTTAGTTAGGGTAAGAGCTAACATTCGGCGTCACGACAGTCATCGCTTGTTTGTTAAAACATAACGGTCTGTCTGTTGCGAGTTTAACTCCAAGCATGGTTGTGACCGCCTACCACAGTGGAAAGTTTTGACTGGTGGCAGCGATACCGCTGTCAGGAGCTTTACGTGTTGTTGCCCTTGTCGTCACGTGACAGACCCGTGTCCGACGTCACACGTTTGTCTCCAGTCCCGTATCATACGTGATGTAGCCCCTGACGTCACGTGACAGACCCATTTCGGACGTCACACCTTTGTCTCTAGTCCCGTTCAGTGACAACATCAATCACGTTCGGCTATTTCCATCAAGCCCATAAAAAAGACGTTTATGCCAGCACCCTCTGCTGGCAGATTGTGACAACATCATACGTGATTTAGCCTCTGACGTCACATCATTGTCTTTTCCAATGCAACGACAGCGTTAGGCGCGATCTGCTCTGCGTTACAATGGCTGATTCAGTTACAAGCGCAACTAAATGTCGCTACTTCCTAGCCGGTGTTTTGGTCGGTGCTTCGTCATCTGCCGTGGTCTTTATGTTCTACAGGAGAGCATCAGCGAATCAATCCCACATTCAGGTACGCCACGTTTTCAGTTGTTCCTGTCGACCACTGGGGTCCGCTCGATGCACGTGATGGACTAGGTCAGCTCGAGTGACCAACTCAGCTACATCTTCGTCATCATCATGAAAGCATAGGCGATATTATGAGTAACTGCACCTTTACAACGCACTGTCTTCTCATATAAAACAACAGATAAAACTGAATTCATATAAAACATAGAGTTTTAAATCAGCGGGTGAACTTTTCAATAAGAAGTTTGACCTGTTATTAACTGCCCTACAAAACACCAATCTAATGTCATAGAGAAACAAGCGTTAAGTCAGAGCTATATTCGGGAGCGTCCATGACCTTCTTGACAAGACACTCAATTTAAATGCAAATGTGGCCTGTAGGCGGCAACATGATCGCCCATTAAGAGAAATATCATCGGAGTTGATGTTAACCATGTTTATAAAAACGCACCCACAGTAAGAGACACCAAAAAGTAATATATCAAGATATATCTCTCCAGCATGTATGGTAACTGACATTCCAAATCCTGAAATCATTTGTTTCCATTGCGAGGTTTTTGCAACTTTGTGCATCCCCTATACAGTCCCGTCACTGTAGCCTTGTCGAAAATATAGTTATATTTGTTATGTCATCGTTGTAAATTGGCCAGGGATGGTTCAGGTTTCTCTGTCTCTGCTGGGTGGCAACACACAGATCTATTTACTCATGTTGGACTTGAAGCCATGTCAGGATAAGCGTCAGTGGCTGTACGCGTGTGTTATGATTTCCCAAGGTAGAAATTATACGTATGTACACCAGCCTATTTTATCATACCGTGTGTCACATCATATTGTTACATATGTAATCTTCAGAAAATGATGTTTCAACTGTCGTTATATGATCTGCAATCTGTTTATGGACGCCTGCGTTGATGAGTAATAACCTGATGCTTCATGGTTTTAATAAACGGAAAATGAACCAAAGCAACAATTTATCTACCGAAAGTTTCATAAAATTCAGGCGCAGCTTTGACAGAGGAATATGTGTATATTTTAGTGAAATAATCGGGTTTGGACCAGACTATCCAGTGATTGATATAATGAGTAACAACCCACGCCATCGGTGTACGATGACACGTAATCATCGGGTCCCCAAGCCTGACCACCGGTCCATGAAGTTGCCTCGTCCGACTCTACTCCCACTGTGACAAGTTTGACCCGGAATCCCTGGGAGTATACCAGTGTACAGTGTCAAACTGAGAAAAAATTTGTGAATAAAAGTTATTCACGAATATATTGTTTCTTTACTAGGGTGGGGCTCCTGTCTTCATGATGAACATACTTTGTCTGCTCCGGAGAACTGTTAAATCTGACAATCTTAACATTTATATCATCACTATGACTTGTAACACTTGAATTGCCTGACATTGTTCTTTGAAAAGCTGTATACGCCATTGAGTGTCAACATTGCGTAAAAGCAACTTCATTAAACTTCATAAAGCGTTTAATCAAGATAAAATCGCATGTTAACTGTAGTCGCTGTATGTCTGGTTGCATCTCGCCGTCAATTATCTCTCTACCAAGTCAATTGAAGGATAACAATGTAGAGAAATATTACATTATATAAAGCACATTTACTACCCGGAGAGCGGAAGGTCCGGGGTTCGATCCCCGGCCGCATCATACCAAAAGACGTTAAAAGATGGTACTTGTTGTTACCCTGTCTGGCGCTCGGCATTAAGGGCTAAAACAAGGACTGTATGCTGTGTCTGAGTGGTGTATTCATGTTAAACTGCGACCTGGCAACTTAGTGGGCTAGCACTATAAATCGGCATCAGTCCGGACTAGTACAAGCAGCCACACACACACCCATTTCAGCTCACCTATTATCAATATCAAATACACAACTGGTTAATTTCAACTATTTGTTCATCTTCAGTTGAGCAGCCGGTTTTTGTTTGTTTTTTGTTTTGTTTGTTGTTTAAAGCCGCCTCCAGCAATATTCCAGCTATATGACGGAGGTATGTAAATAATCGTAACTGGACCAAACAATCCAGTGATTGACATCACGAGCATCGATCTTCGCAATTGGGATACGATGACATACACCAACCTAGTCAGCGAAACTGACCACCCGATCCCGTAATGACAAGCATAGTCGCCATTTACGGCAAGCATAGGTTGCTGAAGACCTATTCTAACCCGGATCTTCACGAGTCAGTTGAGCAGCCGTACACTCCATTGAAGGCAGACTAGTGATACGAATGAAGGCTGGAGGCCGACGTTGTAAATTTGTTGCATGCATATGAAACATAATTCAGTTTTCTTACCCGTGTGATTTTATCAGGTTAACTCGTGTAGAATTACTCTTTAACTGATGTCCAAAGCTCGAGATTATGAAACTAGGGTACAGGTGTCAGCCTTTATCAAATGGTTTTGCAGTTATTTGAAAACCAGCCCACGGGGTAGGACTTCCTTAGTGTGAAGGAGGTATATACAATAACTCACTGATATCCACATTCATGTATGCAGCAATACACATCTTGTGCTTTACCCCGTCCTATCCTGTTAATTTTCATTTAACTCTGTTGATATTAGTTTACATAATCTCCCTTATAGTAAATAATAACAGTGGCAAGTATATGATATCACTGAGACCCTCACATTCCTTGTTTTGTAGACAACCAAAGCCTCGTGTGAATCGGACGTTGGAGCATCTTCTCCAGCAACCAGATCAGCTGAGGAACTTCCCGGGGAAGAGGCACCTTGCTCTGACGCCGATACATTAGCCCTGACTCAAGTCCAGGCCCTGTTGGCAGGAAAGGGAGTAACATTAATTGTGTCGTCTGCTCTGAAGAAAGCAATCTTTCTGGCACAAGGGGCAAAAACAGCAGGACTGAATATTGTCCGCAGTGAGGGCTTTGATGATACAGATGATGACACGATCCACGTCTTTGGAAAGGGCTCTTCTTTTGTCTATGGTAAAAGTACATTCAGGTCGGAGCGGGATATTATCACAGGGAAAACATTCTCTCTTCAGAAACTCTCATCGGAGATAGCTGTAACACATCCGAGACAGGAAACAGTCGCCGCCCGGAGCTGTGGTTCTGGGACAAGTGTCCCGCCATTGTCGGAGATCTTCCCTTTCAGCGTCCTCAACAAGATGGGGATATGTGAGGACCCTTACTTCAGGGAGGAGGACGAAGAAACACAGACTTGTTCGTCAGCAACTGTTTCGAAAACGTCCAACGGGAAATGTGTTCGTGTGATCCGATCGAGACACCGCCAATCGCCAACTAGCGGTGCCCGGTCTGTTGATGTAGGCGGTGACATGGGAGTGGTGCAAACATACCCCCCGGGCTTCTCTAGGGTGTGGCGGCTCGGCTCAGACTTCCACGACCTGTACCACACAAGATACGACACATATCACAGGATTGTACAACCAAACCAAACTGTTGTACTGTACACCGGGCACAGGAAGTAAACACACACTTCTAAATTGTGTATCGTTCGTCTGTTTTCATTGAATTAAGACGGTAAAATGTGGAAGATATACAATATACACACCATGTACTTCCGCAATCTCAACACCAAGCAACAAGTCATAGAGTTTTAGATTTTGTTGAGTCGACTCGGTTTGAAAAAAATCTGCAGTTGTCTAATAATCCCCATCATGAGATCAATGTTTTTGTGTGTGTTTAATTTCAACATTTCAACTTTGACTAAAAAACACTTTCCTCGAGAGCGATTGAAACCCCATGTAAGAAACATGACGGATGAATGCCACATATAAACATACACTTTGAACATCTGCAAAATAAAAATATTTGAAATGACGTTAAAACTTTGAAGACGGCAATGCCATTAGTTAGTGAAGAAGTCGAACACAACCCTTTGCGTGGACCAGCGTAGACAAGCAGGCGCTATTCAATGTATTCCGTTGCCAGTCGGAACCAGACCTGATGACGTCAACATTTTCCGATTACGTGGGATACGCATGTAATATGCTGTGACAATGTATGTACTTTTAGTTTAGATACATGCAGGTATCCAGTTTAGTAATTCACATATACTTTCAATCTCCGTGTGTACTGGACCAAACAGCATGCGCAATGGTCACTGAAACTGTGGACATTCATGGCCCCCGATCCTGTTCCATCTCCACTGAAGGTCCTGCTGTACTGCGTGTAGATCTCCACTGAAGGTCCTGCTGTACTGCGTGTAGATCTCCACTGAAGGTCCTGCTGCACTGCGTGTAGATCTCTCTACTGAAGGTCCTGCTGTACTGCGTGTAGATCTCTACTGAAGGTCCTGCTGTACTGCGTGTAGATCTCTACTGAAGGTCCTGCTGTACTGCGTGTAGATCTCCACTGAAGGTCCTGCTGTACTGCGTGTAGATCTCCACTGAAGGTCCTGCTGTACTGCGTGTAGATCTCTACTGAAGGTCCTGCTGTACTGCGTGTAGATCTCCACTGAAGGTCCTGCTGTACTGCGTGTAGATCTCTCTACTGAAGGTCCTGCTGTACTGCGTGTAGATCTCCACTGAAGGTCCTGCTGTACTGCGTGTAGATCTCTACTGAAGGTCCTGCTGTACTGCGTGTAGATCTCCACTGAAGGTCCTGCTGTACTGCGTGTAGATCTCCACTGAAGGTCCTGCTGTTCTGCGTGTAGATCCCCAGGACATACCGGCAGTTCTCCAGAATGCAGTACAACTACATGCCAAACTGTGCATAGCCTTAAATGGAATAGGTTGTATAATATAGGGAGGGCATAATTGATCGTTCAATGTGTATTGTGTAATAGCGTAATGAACAGTCGAGAACACGTCTGTAGTCCAAATTGCTACCCGAGCTATTCAGTTTTAAGTTACATTTTAACAATTCCAGTGCTATAAAGCAGTTCTTCAAACAAAAACTTGATTTGCTGCTGGTGTTGTATGAAACACAAAGACTGGTCCGTAAAAGTTAGGATACTTAGGTCAAAGTTTAACAATGTAGCAGCCCCTTTATCTTAGACATACATTGTTGATTGCATTTGGTAAGATTTGTGGTATATATGTCAACTTTAATTTTCTATCGACATTCATCGATGTGATGAGTCTTTGACAGGTGCAGCTAATATAACGTTAATTCGACTGAGAACCGTCCACGTTTATCACCACTTTAAACAAATGGCACTTATCATCAATAACACAGATACCAGAGAATTCCTCATGAAGACAGGATGGTTCTACCTACGAGGACCGACCTAATACATATGCTGTCTTTAATACCAATTGTTGACAGATGAAAGGCATGATTTGTCGCCATGTCATATATGCTTTCTGTGTGTGTAAAGTACAGGTGGTAATGGTGGCAGCCAGGCGCCAGACAGGTCAGCATCCTCATGTCTTCACAGGCTGTACCATTATACTGTGTCAACATCACTACCCGATGCTTCACCGTCACCAAAGATAAACTGTAATAATTTCAAATGATCATCAATATTTGGTATGTAAGCATTGTTTTTATTTTCGGTTTTCATTGTTTACAATAGAATATTTTAACACCATAAATTAATACTGAATGTTTTCTTGTCGAAAGTTTAGGTGACCATAGAGTTTAAACCAACAATTTCAGACCACAATAAGTCTTCTGAATTCAAGAATAACTGGAGAAATATAAATGTCACGACTGGCACAATGCCTGTTGGTTTCAGAGCTCAGACTAAGGCGTGACCAATTGTTCTTGATCCTCGTGTAGTGCATTCAAAATGTTCCTTGAAGCCTCAACTCCTACATTTGTATTAGCGGCATTTCCCCTGTGTTTGTTACTCCGCTTATAAGTTACGTGACTATTCGTGACTATTATGCATCACGTTAGAATGAGGTGACGTGATTACTAACATGAACAGCTAGTGGAGTTTGCGGTCAGTGTTCCGGGAACATCTTGGATGAAGATGTGGTTTTGTCAGTCATGAGAGAAATATCATTTCTAGGTCTTCATTTCCCTGCATGTGATGTGGGGTTTACCAAGTTCTGTGAAAAGCGCAAATTGTGACATTGTTTTCCTTACCACGTTAAAGACGATGTTTAGGATTACAACATCTGTGACTCTCTCATTTCCAAGCTGATCAGTGACCGTGCATTGAAGAACAATAGGTTTCCATGATACAGCTTCTGTACATGTATACAACATAGGTCACGTGACCAACCGTCTCGCATCACCTGAAGCAAGGCAGCAGCCGATGCGTGTCAGGGTCTACTACCTGATGTCGATTTTAACAAATTTGTTTTCAATGGTTAAATATTTTAAGCTAAATAATAAGTTTAAGGACCGACGGCTGCCATTATTCATTTGTGGGGCTAGGTGTACATCGATGAGCTTACAAATGCAGCTGCGGGCTTTCGAGGATGGCACATTCTGCCAAGAAAATGTGTTCATTGTTAGACCATATCAGGTGGTCTAATATTTGTTGGAACACCCTCAGCACGACCCACCTGTCTTTTTCTCTGTTCGTGCGTTCGACCCCAGCACCGCTCTGCTTATAAGCAGTATTTTGTCAGTACTATACCCATGCTCATTGATACGTATCTTCCTGCGTCATTGTCGCTCTGCTTATAAGCAGTATTTTGTCAGTACTATACCCATGCTCATTGATACGTATCTTCCTGCGTCATTGTCGCTCTGCTTATAAGCAGTATTTTGTCAGTACTATACCCATGCTCATTGATACGTATCTTCCTGCGTCATTGTCGCTCTGCCCCACATTAATCTCTCTTTGAAGTTAACCATAAAGTCACTCACTCATACACCTTGGGTAACTCAGATGATAAGCCAAACTCTCTCTATACCCCGGGTCAATAAATCGGGTGATATTACAAACCTTCCTGTTTTGGTATTTCGTCCAGTGCCACGTGCTACGTTAATCAAGGATTTGTTCAGCTAGAACCACAGAAGAGGCGACTAACGGGATCGGATGGTCATGGTCGCTGACTTGGCTGATGCATGTCATCGTATCCCAAATGCGTGGATCGATGCTCATGATGTCAGTCACTGGATTGTCTCATCCACATTCGATTATTTACAGACCGCCGTCATGAAGCTGGAATATTGCTGAGTGCGGTGTTAAACAGAAACAAACATATTAATCTGTCTGAATGGAATAACGAATCAGAACACACGGCGACGTGAGTTGCCTAGCTTTGTAGACACCTGTCTTGAATATGAAAAAACACACACATTGTTCGGGGACTCGTTAAACTATTAACGACAACAAAGTTCACATGCATCGTGTATGATATTTCATATTAAGAACTAAAGTAATATAATGAATACAGGTAAAGTTACTCTGGCAAATCAGTTTGATTTTCTTGTCGAAACCCGATAACCAGTGCTGTATAGAAACGCATATATAATGTATGAAGTAACCCCAGTCCCAGCCTAGAGGGGGCGGCCAGCAGTCTTCACAAGCCAGGTAACTGGTCGTGCTGCTGGTTCTGGTATGTCTCAATAATGAAACATTCCATCTCGTATTGTACTGGTGATCTTGCTTTAGGAAATAGAAGAATACATCTATACACATATCTGCTGTACGTCACAGTGAAGTGCCGACACGTAGCAGCAGTAGGATGTCGGGGTATATGGGTTGTGGTGAGTGGGCGTTACAACTACACCGTAATGGTAGCCTTGTGGTTGAAGCGTTTGCGCGCAACTCCGAACACCCCGCTTCATTTCTCCACATGGATGCAGGTCATGACACCTATTCACGGTGTCTCCAGCCATGATATGGCAGGAATATTAATCATTTATTTGCACATCGATTTCATGCAGTGGCAATGTGCACGCAGCCTTATTCCTTAAGTTTGTTCCATGTGCATGGAGACCAACGCAGCATTAACATTGTTGAAAAAGGTGTAATTGTTATTTTTTTCAAGATGCTGATTACAATTTTAAATGTTGTGAACGTGTCCTGACTACCAAATTAGTCATGTCAATAATCTTATAAAATGTTCCGAAATGTCTTAATCTTAAACTTGCACACCTAGTTGTGTCAGGCTCTTCTAAAACCATTTGAGTATCACCATCTACAAATACGTCCATATCACTGCCGTTATCTAAGCTATTTGTTGGATGGTTAAAACACAGTGAATTATGTAATAGCTTTATTTCAAACAGAAACTTGGAAAACGATATTTGATTGTCTCATAACATAAAGTAATTTCTATCTCCTGAGGGGTCAGTCGAAGATATTTGTTGGAAAACATAAAGTTACAAGTCAGCACAATATACATGTCATCATAACTGGGAAACAAAGTCAGGCATATTGTCCAAGGTATACAACGGCGCAGCTGTGATCTGTACAGCTTGTGTCTGGTCAACAGAAGGTGGTAGGAGTGTTTCCGAGACGTAACAATGTTACACAACATTAAATAGTCTGTTGGATTTAAGAATGAAAAAGAACTGCAAAAACAGAACAAGGTTAAATATAAGTTTTATCTTCTCATGAGTTTCGTGTTTGGGGAA